TCACAACACCCCGGGTTCCATCCCCCAGCACGGCAATAAATAAAAAGCAAATAATCCTGTGGATAAAATGCTGCTAAATGCCTCAACAAATACTTAACTATAAAGGTGAGTGTGCTTGGAAAAAATATTTTAAGTTTGTGTTGTTACTGTACAGGGTTGAAGCACGCTACATACAGACCCATGTATTTAACTGGGAAATGACCAGACTTCAAATGGAAATAAAATAAACCTGAAAATATAAGAATCTAAGGGCTGGAGAGTGACTCAGCAGTTAGGAGCCCTTGCTGCTCTTAAGGGAGGGTGTAGCACCCCCATGATTGCTCACAAATGTCAGTAACTCCAGCTCCAGGGGTTCAGGTGCTCCCTTGTGGCCCCTGAGGACACTGCATGCACGTAGTACACACACACACACACACACACACACACACACACACACACACACACACACACCGGAGCTGGCAAAATACCCATATATATAAAATATATGTTTCCACTATCTTCTGTCCTGTTTGCTGAGAGAGAAAGCTAAGAATTACTTTCCCGCTTCCTTCCTCTTTAGGGGAAAAAAGAGGCAACTCTGTCGGTTTTATTAGCTTTTTCTAATTGGGCAGAGTAGCACAAGCACAGAAAATGACCGCCTGTTATTGCTCCTCTGCAGACAAACCTTAGTGTGTGTAAAGCTAGTCTGTGTCTCCCCAGGAAGAGATCATGAGCTCCAAACCCTGGCTTCACATCACCCAAAGTCATGGGCTCACTGGGGAACATAATCCTTACATTTACCATGCTGGCTGTGTGTGACTGGAAGGTAGAAAGAACTCAGACGAGACCATGGGTTCCCCCTTGCTTCCTGTAGGCAAAAGTCTTCTTCCTTCCTTCCTTCCTTCCTTCCTTCCTTCCTTCCTTCCTTCCTTCCCTCCCTCCCTCCTTCTTTTTCCTTCTTATTTTGTCTCAGTGTATCTCCTCTGACCAGAAGGCTAGTTTGGCAGCTTGATTCCAATCAGCTCAGACAGGTGAATAGATTTTTAGCTCAACGGACTATACTTCCAGCTTGTGCTTTTGTTTTGAATCAAGGGCTCTTGTAGCCCAGGCTGGACTCAAACTCACTACATAGCTGAGAATGACCTTGAATTTCTGATCCTCTGCCTTACATCTTCCTGGTGCTAGTAGGGTTACAGGCTTGTGCCACCAAGGCTAATTTATGCAGTGTTGGGACTGCAACCAAGGGTGTCTGGTACACTGAGCAAACACTTTACCTGCTGAGCTACATTCGCAGGATCTGACTTTTGTTTTGGGGCATTGGTAATTACTTTGGGGTTGCACCTAGGGACACAAACGTGAGCTCACTCTTACTTAGGGCTTGAAATGGAATACCAGTTTTGCTGCTGGCAAGGTGTGGCCCTCATGCTCACAGGGAGAGGGCAATGAGGGCTTGCAGAAGGCTCCTCTGTCACACGTGTTCCTCCAGACTGACAATTGTGCTTGCATTTATTGGAGGTGAAAACCCCAGCATTAACAACTGCCTCAAACTACCACAAACTCATAGCCCACTGTCCAGGGTGGATATGTTGTGTGCTCAACACACTTTCCCAACAGTGAGAAGTGCTTTTAGTGCTGCCAAAATAGGGCTGTCAACTTTCTAAGTATAGCCTGGTAGAGAGAGAGAGAGAGAGAGAGAGAGAGAGAGAGAGAGAGAGAGAGAGAGAGAGAGAGAAAGAGAGAGGGTTGGAGAAGGAAGGAAAGAAGGGAGGAAAACAAATAATGCTTCCAAACTGTCCTCCCATCCATTTTAATCACACTCTCCTCTCTACTTCCTGTCCCAATGTGTATCCAGTTCTGACATTCTGGAACTGATTGCTCATTCATTTGCTGTTTCACTTGTTTGTTTGTTTGCTTTGAGACAGGATCTTGTGCAGTTGAAGCTGGCCTTCTGCTCACTATGTAGCAAAGGATGACCTTGAACATCTGATTTTCTTGCCTCTGCCTCTCAGGCGCTGGATTACAGACCTCACATCCAGTTTATTCTCTGGTTTTAGAGTTAGTCTTTTCACTCCATGAGCATGTCTGAGTCCATTGCTGGGAGAAAGGAGAGCAGGAAGCGGAAACGGCAAGCTTGCTCTTCAGATGTGTGGTCTGAGTGACCCAAGGCTTCAGGCTTGGCATCCCTTAAGAAAATCCACAAGGGCTGAGATGGCTCAGTAGGTAAAGGTGCTTGCTGCCGAAACTGATGAGCAGGGACTGAACTCAAGAACCAACGATGGAAAAAGGGTATCGATTTCTACAGGTTGTCCTCTGATATGTGTGCATGCATGCACACAGGATAAATAAACAAACAAATACATAAATGTAACAAAAAGCTTAGAGGACACAAAGAAACTCATTAGATGAGATGCTAGCAATGGGAAAGCCGACCAGCCTTCTCCTGTTGTACAAGGCTTGTGTTTAAACAATGGGTGCAGAGCTTGAATACATTTATAAGCAAAAAGAAGTTTTTAAGTCTGAAGGAACCATCCCTGGCAGCCATCTGTCATCCTTGTTCCCACCCCCCACCCTCACCACAAAGATACCCCTGGAAGGACCACGGGGGAAACAGAAACCCAGTGTCTTCTTTTATAAACAGTAAGGCCAGATTCCCATTATAGGATCATTTTGTGCACGTGCGATGAAATCTATTAAATGTTTATCTTAGAACCCCGGTTCAGTTGCGGGGGGGAGCCGAAGCCCTGCCAACCAGTTGGTCTGTGTGAATCACAGCTCAGTCAGACTTTCAGGTCTATAATTTATCTTTTCTTTGGCCTCTGTGCTAAATGCTCCATTTGTCCATGAATTCTTGCCTTGTTTTAATTATGCTATGGTCTGAATGTAGTTTTATAAGGCGCACAAATAAGATTGTCATTCCGAAAACACAGATTTGTGTGTTTATCCCTCCCCCCCCCCCAAGATGAGCCGGGGGTCAGTTATCTCTGTCCTAATTCGAATCTTGGTGGGTCTGTGGCTGGAATTCCAAACCCAGCATGCAGTGACTGTGGGGGGAGGAGGCGCAGAGCTGTGGGGGATGGGAGCTGGGCAGACAGCTGACTCGGCAGAACCCAGTGCGTAATTTACCCTAAAAATTGTGCATCGATACAACCCATGTTCAACTTTGCATTGTGGCGCTACTGGCTCCAAAACTGCTATTGACTGGGATGGTTTTGTTCATGTTGTTTTCTAAGGGCTGTATTTTCTCACTATACTGAAGAAACGATTGGTTTTCCCCTAAACTCACAAGTAGGCCACAGGGGCCAGATGAGAAAATTGAACAATCAGAACCCTAGGCTTTTTGCTGTTCAGTTGTTTTTTTTTTAAAGAAACCTTGCACATATACACATTCAAATATCCATGTGCTTGCCGGCCGAAGGAGAAATGGCTTTCTCATACTCTGTAAAAAGATGTTTTACATGTGCAGAGTACACGACAGACACTCAATATTTCAAATTTCAGTGAAATTGCCAATCCAAAAAGAAAAAAAAAAGGAAATTTGAAGTGTAACACAATTAAGCACACACATTTCCTTGGCAAATGTAATGAGAGAGGTCTTTCATCAAGGAAAGAAAGCATGTTTATAATTGGGGGTGGGCTACTCTGAAAGACATTTCAACTCCAAACGTCACTCTGGGCTGGGTCGCACCCATACTTGCTGTGCTGCTACCACAGATTGCATCTTGAAGCCCATCCCACCTGAGAACTCGCTGCAAATAAATCCAGCTGTCGTCTAGGAGGGAGGATGTCCCCCATCTCAGCCCAATAGAGGAGGCTGATTTTGCAAAGTACCACTTCACAACTTTACCAACAAGTTCTTTGAGAGCAAGAGTGGATTGGGTATGCCCAGGCTTTTGTGACTAAAGACCTTCAAGAACTGGCTGGTGGGATGCTGGTTTGATTTGTCTAATTAAGGAGGATTTGGCTGAGTCACTAGGCAACCGAGCAAAGATGGGGAGCTCTTCATTCTCTCCTTATAAATAATTCAGGCAATGCTCTGACCTTGGGTCCCTACACCTTAAAAACTTATGACTGTTTAAAAGTCACCACCTCTGAATGGCTCTAGGAGCCCAGGGACAATGATGCAAAGCCAGTCAGAGTCTCTCTGCCCAGGCGATGTGTGTGAACAGTTGCCCCAGTCCATGAATACTAGTGACTAGTTCCTAGCCCTCAGAGAAGCAGCTCAGGGCTCTTGGCTTGTGCGTATAAGACACTTTCTGCTGCCAGGCTGACATCCGAGAGTCTAGACCCCTCCCCGCACGCTGCTCATTGGACTGTTTGCCAAACTAGCTCAGTTTGGGAGTAGACAAGCAATAGAATATCTGAAAACAAACCCTGAGTCCAAACGTATGGGTGTAGTGAAAATATTGACAGCAGGAGGCTTCAATGCCTTTGTCTTCTTGACTTTTTCCAATTTCAGCTGTCCAGAAATGTTGTCTGCAGACCAACAGTCACCGTGTAATTCTTTGTTTTTGTTTTTCTCTTTTATGTATCTCAGGCTGGCTTTAAGTAGTCAAGGATGACCTCGAACTTCAGATTTTCTTGCCTCCACCTCCCAAGTGGTGGGATTAGAAGCCAGAGCCCCCATGCCTGGTGTATGCAGGACTGGGGATCAAACCCAGGGCTTCAAGTACGCTAGGTGAACGATCACAGTCCACATCCCCAGCCAGGCACTTAAGTTTGTTAGAAGTCACTTTCTTCCCCCGGTGCCTTTCAGTCTGGGCCCCGAGCCGCAGCCTTGGGTAAGGAGGCTAGAGTCTCTCTATGTATGCCACCTACCGCCTCTTTTTCTTTACATAAAACAGAGGATACAGAAACTTTGCTCTTTGGATGTTTCTGCCCACACAAACATAGAGGAGAGGTTAAGCTTACCTTGTCTGGGACCTTGGATGACTGACTCTAAGGGTGGCATGTGTAGTGCCCATTCAGCGTCCTCCACAGAAGCACCCACGGGAGAGGAACTAGGTAAACTTTCACACACTTACCTCCTCAGCAGGGACACCATGGGGACTCCCTGGCACGGCAGGAGCCTCCTCGGCCTGGTCTTGGTCTCTCACCGCTTTGGCTTCTTCAGGCTGGTGGCCAGCTGGTGCCCTTTCTCTTGCCCTGTCTAGTTTAAATAATCTGTCGAAGAAGCTGAAGTCCTTGGGCTTGGAGGTGTCTTCCGCGCTGGACTCAGGTGGTGAAGGTGCTGGCGGGCAGGTGGCAGGGAAGGCCTGCTGCTTGGCCTCAGGGCACCCTGGCGTTTTATCTGCAGCCGGCCCTGGTGCAGCTGCCACCGGAAGTGCCCCGTGCTCACTTGGGTCTTTGTTCGCAGGCGCTGTGCCGGGGCTGACATCAAGCTTGCCCGATGCAGCCGATGAATCCGTGCCTTGGTCCCCGGGACGTCCTGGTACAGGCCGAGAGAGCGTCAAGAAAAAGCTCGATCTAGCAGCTGGTGCCCGGGGCTTGGCTTCTTTCCCAAGACTCTTTCCGCTGGTGTTGGCCACAGCTTGGGCCTCCGTTGTCTTGGGGGAAGAAGCAGCCACATTATCCTTGGAGATGCTTATTCCCAAATCGACTGTAAACACAAACATAAACAATGGTCATTCAACAAGCCAGGAAATCCAAGGGTGAATAATGGACTCCAACTTTTGATAAAGGAAGTCTCCTCCGCAGACAGGCCGCCTTGTGCCCTGCTGTTAGCCCAGCAGACATCTCCTGACCCTGCTCTTCCTGAGAGACCCCCGAGACTGATGAGGCAGAAAAGTCAATGACCAGGAAGCGAGTACCCACCAGGCACCATGTGTGTGAGACCCAGTGTCTACTGTCATCTTTTATCTCCCTGGAAGTGGAAAGTTAAGGCTTTCCTGTGGGAAATCACACTAGGTTAGAGTTTGGGCTCTGGAGCTGGGAGGTCGGTCAACTCTCATCATTCTAGACATCTGGCCTTGAGCATGTCTTTATCATGGATCTGTCCTGTGTAGTACGCTTAGCGCCTCCATTGGTCCCTTGAATGCCTCTCACACCCCAATGCTGTGGTGATCAAATGTATTTTACAAATGTCCCCTAGGGGAGAGAAAGCGCTCATATTTGAGGCCCACCTTCTGGGGACACACGCCTTTAGTCCCAGCATTGCAGAGGCAGAAGCAGATAGATTTCTGTGAGTTCAACACAATGAGACCTTGTCTCGAAAATAGACCAACAAAAAAGATCTTTTTGAATCCAAGTCATTTAATCTTTTCTCAGCCTTTACTCTGCAGTAAAAATGAAGAAACAATAGACCTACCTTACCATTTCCTTAGGGAATGACACTTGTTAGTATATTTAAAGTATGCAGAAAAGTAGTTGAGTGAGATGCACAAGCTTCTCAGCACACATGAAACTCAGCTTTTGTCACCACCGGGGAGGGAGAACGCTGGCACCAGAGGTCAAGACATCGTCCCCCTAGTCCCCAGTGAGAGGGCTCCACAGAAGCCAACTCCTGAGCTCATGTCCTTTCTGTCTTAATGTAAGATCTATTAGCATGGGCTCTCGGGGATATCTACGCTAAAACAGTAATACTCAGAAAGTAGACATTCTGTAGCCTTGAAGAGCAGGTGTGTACCCGCAGGAAGGCTGGGCCAGCTCATGCATTGTGTGTGTGTGTGTGTGTGTAGGTAGCAGCTTCCCAACTTCCTGGGAGCTGCAGTCCCAAACACCCACCCCTTCCTGCCTTGAACCAGTTGAATTGCCTTCTTTTCAAGGCCCCATGAGATGGGGGAGGTCCTTCTCTGTATATGTTATTCTATTGGTTGATAAATAAAGCACTGTTGACCAATAGGGGAGCAAGATAGGTGGGACTAGGAGTCGAGGAGGGTTCTGGGAAATGTAGTCAAGAGTAGAGAGCGCCACATGATCACGGAAAGAGAGGATGCATTAGGCTGCGTCCTTGATAAGACCTTATAAAAATATAACCGGGGGCCGGGCATTGGTGGCGTATGCCTTTAATCCCAGCACTCGGGAGGCAGAGGCAGGCGGATCTCTGTGAGTTCGAGGCCAGCCTGGTCTACAAGAGCTAGTTCCAGGACAGCCTCCAAAGCCACAGAGAAACCCTGTCTTGAAAAACCAAATATATATATATATATATATATATATATATACACATATATATGTATATTAGTAATTATTAAGTCAGAGCTAGCAGATAAGAAACCATAGCAAACAACCAACAGCTTCATAATTAATATAGTGTCTCGTGTGTTATTTGGGGGCTGAGATAGCGGTGGGACCCAGGCAGCTGCAACGAAAGAATACATTGTACCCATGGTAGTGAAACAGTGAGGAAGAATTTTGGGATCTTAATTGATTTTCTATGGCACCCAAACCCATATGAACATCTGCATACACACAAACCTGTGTGAGTGCACACCCATGCATGCATGAAACAGAATAAAATAAATACAACAAACAGGAAATGTGCATAGCTCCCTGGTATGGCCAGTAAAGCTTGGAAGGAAACTCACCCAGGGTCTGGGCTGCTGCTACCATCCCCCAACAGGTACTTCATGACTGACAGATACTACGATAATGTCGAAGACTGCTTTCCATCCTGTATACACTTGGACAGACAAACAGACACTGTTTGCAGGAGGTCAAGGAGCAGGATAAAGCAGGGAGAGGATAGGGAGGTCTTTGTTGTATTTCCATTACACATTAACATGGGACAGTAGACACATGCCCACACATGCATGCATTCATAGTCACTCTGTCAAACCCTCGTATCTGGAGTCAGGAACCTGAGGAGAGAGCTGCCTTTCTGTTTGTCTCAGTGACCTCTTAGTCACACAGAAGACAGAGAAGTGACTCAAGATGAGGCCAGTGAGGAAGCCAGGGAGGTTTCACAAGGAAGCCCCCAGTCAGGGCGCTAGCTAACCCATCTAGTGCTCTTTCAGCTTTAGCCTGTGCTCCGGGAACTCCTGGAGACAAATACACCGAAAGGGGTAGGGTAGGGGGGAGGGAGAAGAGAGAAGCAGGCAAAGCAGGGACCAAATGAGCAAGGGAGACCCGAACTTGTCAGAGGGAACAGAAACGGATTGTGGATCAGGTCCAGAGGGAGAGGAACCTGTTGACAGAAGGGACAGGCTGGGATTGAAAGCCAGGCGAGGCTTTTGCAAATCCCAGAGAACATGTGCTGATTTCCCTGCTTCACGTCCTGGCTGGGAACCAAAGGAGCTAAATGGGGTTACAGCCAGAGCAGCAGACAACACTCTCCATGGCAAAACAAACAAACAAACAAACAAAAATGCCACTGTTTGGCTTTGAAAAGGTTCAATACTGAACGCGTAGAGCCCACAGCCAAAAGAAACAAGAGGCCTTGCTGTGGGAGACCAGGGAGAACCACTCGGTGGCCGGTGGCTTGTCAGAACTTGGGGAGTTCTGAGTGGGCTCCCTTCATGACAGCTCATAGTGTTAGTGGAGTGTTAGGGACAGGGCCTGGGCTCTGGAAGCCCTGACAAGCCGAGCTTGCCCCCCTGCCCCCGCACCATCCTCAATAGTTTGATTAAAAGACAACAAATATCAAAGAACAGAGAAAAATGTGATTTAGCCAACATGTCACATTGGGAATAAGAACAAATAAAGAGATTTAGTGACCCCCACCCTTCCCCAAGTGCATCTTAGGGGTCCAACTTCTTATGATCACTAGTGTTTGTTTTATATAATTGTTACATGTATGTTTATATCTTCTTGGTGAACTGATTTATTAATATGTAGTGGTCTTTTAAAACCTCTTCTGACTATGTTTGGGTTAGAGATGACTGTAACAGATACCAGATTATCTGTGGCACTTAGTCTGGTTCCCATTTGCTGTATAGGCGGTTTTCATCCTTTGCCTCTCAGTCCATGGGAGTCTTTTCCAGCACAACATCCTCTCCTCCTCCTCCTCCTCCTCCTCCTCCTCCTCCTCCTCCTCCTCCTCCTCCTCCTCCTCCTCCTCCTCCTCCTCCTCCTCCTCCTCCTCCTCCTCCTCCTCCTCCTCCTCCTCTTCTTCTTCTTCTTCTTCTTCTTCTTCTTCTTCTTCTTCTTCCCTCTCTCTCTCTCTCTCTCTCTCTCTCTCTCTCTCTCTCTCTCTCTCTCTCTCTCTCTCTCTCTCTCTCTCTCTCTCTCTCTCTCTCTCTCTCTCTCTCTCTCTCTCTCTCTCTCTCTCTCTCTCTCTCTCTCTCTCTCTCTCTCTCCACAAATGGCCAGATGTCTTGTCTTTCATTTAAATCTCCAGGCTTTTGCCCAATACATGGACTTGCTTGTGGCACAGGCGTCACAATTATTGATGCAGGGGTGGGAGGCAAGTGCCATGACATCTGTGTAGAGGTCAAAGGACAACCAAAAGGACTCTCCCCCCTTCCACCATGTGGGGTCTCAGGTCATCAGCTTGGTGGCAAGCACTTTTACCTGCTATGCCATCACATATACGGCATCATCACAGGATGAGAAACAACGCGGTGTATCCCGAGCTCAGTACTGTCAAGAGAATCAGGCAGCCACTAGGGGGGTGTGGTCCTGGAGTATGTCCCCAGTGAAAAGAGAGAGCGATTGAAATTCCTTGTTTCCTCCCCACTATATATACAGCCCCAAGTAAACAGAGCCTTGGGATGTCTAGTCACAGCCCCAAACGTCTTTCTTCAGGAGTGTCTGGCAGTAGGGCTAACCCAGGTGACATGGGTGAGTCCCAGAGCAGAGGCCCTGGGTGAAGTCTTGCACTCAGGGGAAGACGCTGATGGTCACAGAGAATAGCCGCCTTTGTAAACGAGCTGCTGGGGACAGGCTGCTCTCTTTCTGAGGTTTATTGACCTGTTCTCCCAGGAGTTTTTACAGGGAAAGAAAGCTGAGACGGCTCATCTTGGCTCTCCCAATGAAGCTCTGAGAGCCTATCCCATCGGTTCATGGTGCCTGTTCTCCTGATGTGCGTGTGCCTGTGCTGCATGTGTGTGCAAGGGCACATGCGTGTGCCTGTGCATATGTGTGCAAGGGCACATGCGTATGGGGATACATGCACATGCGTGTACACGTGCTATGGAGGCCAGAGGTCAGCTTCAGCTGGCCCCCTCCATCATCACCTCATTTCCTTGCTTTCTAAGGCAGGCTCTTTCACCAAGCCAGGAGCATACTGATTCGGCTAGACCAAGTGCTCCCTTGGTCCCAGAGGTCCTTCCTCCTGTCTCAACACTGGAATTACAGATGTGCTGCTGGGCTTTCTTGTTTTGGATTTTGTAATGTATGCGCCGGGGATCCAAACACAGGTCCCCGTGGCAAGCACTTTACCATCCATCTCTCCAGCTCCTTCATCCCTTCCTTGGCACCCCTGCCTCACACACTGCTGTCCCGATCTATCACAGTAAGCCACAAGGTGGATACCTAATGTTTGGTAATCACGAAGGGAACTGTTACAAATCCTGCAGATGCTGTGGGAGTGTGTCGAATTATGGGCGTTAACATGGATAAAACACTTGGATCAGACACACAGCTCTTGTCGTATCAGGATTCAAAAGCAGACACAGGGCACAGCAGTTGATTGCAGAGGCAGGGAAGGAGATGCTGAGTTCT